GGAGGCTGCGGGGGGCAGCGGGCACCGGCTCGCCCTGCCCGTCCTGGCTGCCGCCCCCCCGCGCTGCTGCGCTGGAAAGCCCGGAGGAGGAGGAGGAGGGGGAGGAGGAGGCGCGTTGGCAGCGCTGCCTCGCCATCCCGTGGGCTGCCAGCCCGCGTCTCTGCCCGCCCCGCCGCCCGGCTGCCCTCGGCCCCGTCTGCTGTCAATGCCTGAGTGCTTCGTGGCTCGCCCGCTGGTCTAGCCGACTCGGTCCCCAGACCGAGGTGTTTTGGTGTCGGGCTGCGTGGCAAAGAGTCTTGCTCGGATTTTGGACTCTCGTCCGGGTCCCAGCACGCAGAGCCCTGCTCCCTGCTGCAGGACGGCCCCGCGTCCTCCGCCCTGTCTTTCCCGCTCCCTTTCTTTGTGAACACTTTTCTCCAGTGAAAGATAACCTGCCTCAGACCAGAGGCTGACAACAAGTAGCTATAAAGCTTAACTCCAGTACCTCTGATTTTAGAATGAATCATGTGGAAGCAAAACAGTAAAAAAGGCGCTTGAGACACTCGCTGCTTGTAAGGTAGAAAAAATGAAATAGAGGATTATAGCAGGGAACCAGCAGGGGTTTGGGGGCCCGGTTCGGGTCACCACCTGCCTCCCAGCCGTTAACCTCTATGTGCCATTAACTTCCAGCATCCTTCACTGGATAAGATCTCCTATGAGTACTCTGATGTCCTCCGCCAGAGGGCTCTGGTGTTTCAGGAGAAAATTGGAGGTAAAACATGTCTAAAAAGAAGCCAGCAACTACAGGCAACTCATCTTACAGGCACTAAGAGTTATTAAGATAAGAAGTGTGCATGTGATGGAGACCCCTTGAACTCAGACCCTTCTCCTTGTTTGCAGTCTCTGGGAAGACCAGAGGAAAGTGGGGAGAGCTTAAGCGAAGGCAGGACCTGGTATAGCAATCTTCCTTTTCATTGCAATTTTTCAGTTTTTCTGTTTCCTTCCCTGCCTGCTAGCACTGCAGTCTTCACCTGGAACACCCAGCTCTGTTCTTTCCATTTCTTAAATCATCAAGAATAATATTGATCCTGGAAGATAACAACGTTGGCAGCTCAGTTTGTGATGCTGGAAAATACAAACACAGCTCACTCTCTTCCAGGCTGCGCTTTGCCCCTTGTTCCTGGCGCTCTCTTTCCTACCTTATTACGGTTTTCATCTCTGGGGCTATTTGTAAGATATCAGCTGCTTAATCAATGTCCAAGAGGAGGTCAGGGGACCTGGTACTAACTGTTTTTGAAGAGTTTGCAGGTACACACATGTATACAACAGGGCACGTGCCCTCGTCCCTTGCCTTTTTAGGACTAGTACACAGGCACTTATGAGAAGCCCAGAGATTACACTTGGCCCTGCACAAGAGCCATCTGCTTACGTGCTTTTACGTGCAGAACAGCGGCCTCTGTGCAATCAGGATCCATCTGTTAGGCCCATGCTCTGGACACCTATGAAAGGGTTGTTTGAAAGAACTGACCCGAGTTTGCTCTAAAACATGGCCACTGGTGCCTCCTCCCCATCGTATGTGTAAGAGGGCAGCAATTTAAACGTTTGCCCATGAATTGAGTGAGCTGGATCCAGTTCCTTCATTAGCCGGAGGGAATTCAAACCTTCATCTCCCATGAAAGCGCCGCAAGCCTCAAGCTGTAAGTGAGGCTGGGGAGGAAGAGGAAACTTCTTCTCCTTTTAAAGAATACAGAATTCATGAAGCTGGAAGGAGGGGAAACAGAAGGGCCCATGACTCTGTGGCACCATGGTTGGGGCACTCAGGGAGGTGATGGGAATTCTGGGTTCTGGTGTCCGCTTTCAGAATTGCTTGTTTTTATCAAATAACAGTGTAATGTAAAATGCATAAATAGTTCTGTGAACAGGGACTGGACCCCAACTTCAAGGTAACAAGACTTTTCCAACTTTTGTCTCAGCCTGATCCATACAAAATGCACTGTTCCAAACAGGAGACGATACCACACCCTCAGCTCTCCTGTGAAATATGAATTTACATTTCTACCTAGGAGAACTTTTACGATCTTTGCAGTCTCCTATGGCTGATGAAGGGTACCTGTGCCTGAAAGCTTGCAAATAAAGACATTTTTTTTTATAATATCTAGTTGGTCTAATAAAAGATATCGCCTCTGCCACGAGTCTTGGTTCCTTTTGCCTCTAGACCGATAGGGCTACAACCTGGGACCGCCCTTCCCCGCCCCCACCACGTCATGCTCTAACCACGTGTTGTCTTCCAGCTTCATAATTCTCACATTTTCTGCTCCACAGTGGCACACAGCAAAGCCCTAAAAACATTCAGCAATTTTGAGATTAAGAAGTACTTAGTAAATTCAATGCCTCTCTAGTGTTATGTAGCTACTGAGTGACTGTGAGGAGGATGGAGGCACAGTTTGGGATTTATGTGCTTGCAGTCTGTCTAGATCCTCATTCAGGCATTTCAGCTGTTTTTTAGGATCTGGCCCTTGGTCTATCTTGCACTTTTATATAGTGGGGAAAATTACTTCCTGACATCTGTGGAACTATTCTGATATTGTCAGACATGATTATTTGGCTTCATTACTCAGACTTCACATTGGAAAGATATCAGTGATCACAGAATTGTCCTATGGCTTTTTAAATCCATCCACGGTGCTGGAGTTTATGACCTCTTGGAATAGAGAATTTCCCCAGCTAAAGACACGGCAGGTGAAGAAATACTTTTTTTTACTTCTTCCTTTCCATGATCAAGAGTGCTGAATTGGACAGATACAGGTAATACCTGTCATTTTTAAAAATGTAATTTTCCTCTTTTATTCAGAAGAATTCAAAATGCTTCTTAGATCATCTTTACCACAGTTAGTTCTAGGGTGAAATCTAGTAGGCATGTTAACAGTGCTGCAAAACAAAATTGTATAGCAGTTGAGGTCAGGAAGTGAAGGATACTTTTGCTTCTCTAGTATAAGAAATAGTGGCATATCTTTTGTGTTCCTTCAGGGTGGTTGAATTTTCTTTCTAGTTATTCTTCCCACTATTACCCTAGAAGTAGCACTCAAGGGGTGGTGTATATTTTGTCAATCAGCTTCCTTTCAAACGCAGTGAAAATGCAACCTTGTGCAGCAGCTAGCCGGACGTGATATGCAAAAGAGAATGTTTCACCATGTCCCCTGCTGATTCCTTTCTTCCCTATTCTGAGTGCACAGGCTTCCTAAAAACCTTATTTTTATATAATTTAAATGGAAAGATGGCCTTGTAGGAAATTAGTTTTTGGCCACTCCAGTATCTTCCTGGCCAGGACATTTGGTTGGTACTTTGCACAGACAAAATAGTAATGAAGCTTTAGTACAAAGAGGAGAGGAGACATGGAACAGCGGGGCAGGAAAGTCACTAATGAGAAAGATATACCCCTTCATCATGCTAACCAGTCAAACAAGATCCAGCTGATTATGAGCTGAAACATTCCTTGGCAGCTTTGCTGGGAAATCTGCATGAAAGGATAGAAGCAGTTGCACAGGATTTGTATAGCTCTTTGCACCCAAACAGACTCCCTTTTAGTTTTGGATGCTTCTGCCTACTAGTTTTGTATCTTTTTACCTCAAAGAATCATTTTAGAGATAGCTGAAGGAACTCACTATCCTTGGTTGAATTATAAAAGACATATATTTGTTCTATAATTTATTCAACACATAATCAGCCCATCTCTTTAGTTGGGGGAAAAAATTAAAAGTCATCAAACTTAGTTGAAAATCTCTAGCAAAATTCATCTAATATTTATTATTTATACT